ATTATTACAATTTAAAATAGCTGTTTTCTATTTGAATATATTTTTAAATTGAGTTTATTCCTGTAATGCAAAGCTGAATTTTCAGCATCATTACTCCAGTCTTCAGTGTCACACGATCCTTCAGAAATCATTCTAATATGCTGATTTGTTGCTGAAGAAACATTTGTTTTTTTATTATTATCAATGTTGAAAACATTTCAGGAATCATTGAATAGAAAGTTCATTTATTTGAAATAGAAGTGTTTTATAACATTATAAATGTCATATTCGATCAATCCATGCTAGCTGTTTTCTATTTGAATATATTTTTAAATTGAGTTTATTCCTGTAATGCAAAGCTGAATTTTCAGCATCATTACTCCAGTCTTCAGTGTCACACGATCCTTCAGAAATCATTCTAATATGCTGATTTGTTGCTGAAGAAACATTTGTTTTTTTTATTATTATCAATGTTGAAAACATTTCAGGAATCATTGAATAGAAAGTTAATTTATTTGAAATAGAAGTGTTTTATAACATTATAAATGTCATATTCGATCAATCCATGCTGAATAAAAGTATTAATTTCTTTTTTTTAAATCTTACTGACCCCAAACTTTTGAATAGTAGAGTATGTCTGCAGACTAAACTAAATACCAACAACTGGAGCAATCAGCCGGTAAAATTAATGTAAAATAACATGCAGGATAGCATTGACTACTTTTTTTGAAAGGGAATTTTCAACTAGTTATGTTATACAAGTTATGTTGTAATGTTACACTGAGAACAAATTATGTTTACAGTTTTAACAATTGTATTGTACTTTATATGTTATACTAATTAAATTGTTTTATAATTGTACCCGTTAGAGATGCTGACAGTTCATTTGTATGTCTCTCTTGACACTGTTTTTGCTTTCTATTAAATAGGCTATTTATTAGGTCAAATTATTAAGCTATTTTAATATTATATGTCTATCTCTCTCTCTCACACACTCAAAGACGACACATACATATAGAAAGAACTACATAAATTCAAGAACTGTTTGTCAAGAATGGAATTCAGACACGTACAAAAATGTTCACAGGTCAAACATGGACATCATCTCTACATCAAAGCAGAAGAAACAGCAGGCAGCGTTACAGAGCAGCTGAATGTACGATACAGTTGTTGTCCGGGTGTTACATTCAGATTGAAATGAGTTAGTCCACAATATGAAGACACCTCAAAGACACAATGAGACATGTCAGACCTACACGAGAGACACATAAAATCTCCCACTAATCTCCTCGTTCCTCAAATATACAGCGCTTAAATAAACAATCGAATAAACAGCGTCACCTACTGGCAGGCAGATGTATTACAAGCACAAGAAAACACGTCTGTAACAGCTTTGAGACATGGTCGTTACCTTCCGAGCTCACGCTCAGAATGACGGCTGGTGTCAAGAACATAGAAAGCAGCAAAAATCTCTCTCTTTTTTTGTCTTTTTCATGCAGCTATATCTAGAAAGAGCCACAGAGGGAGCTCGGCCCCTCATATATACAAACACCTATGAAGCTGTAAGGTCACGTGATCCAAGCAACCTCTGACGCTCTCCGTTAGCATTTCACAATTTATTTCTACAGACAAGTTCACTATCACTGAGAGCATTTTCAAGATCATCACGATTTACAGGTTGAAAAATAATGACCATAAGAGAAATGAGATAGCTCAAACAAATATAAAAAAATTTTTTGTCATCACTGATGAGAATTTATGGCATTTATCAATTATCCCCTCGTCTGCCATTGGCCAATAAACATAATCGTCCCGCCCCAAACTCACGCTATTGGTTGAGATAAGGTCGTGACGCTAAAGCCAAACTTTTTATAGCACCAAAGAGCCAGTGTTTACACTTTTTGAGGAAAATCCAGCTACAAATGACTTTATAGTTGTCTCTGCATATTAAGTACAGAACGTATTTTAAATCATAAATACAATTTTTTTTAAAGAAACGCGCA